GCTCTCCCCTATGGACAAGTCCCGCAAGTGCTACCGAATGGTGGGGGACGTTTTGGTGCAGCGGACGGTCGCAGAGACGCTGCCCGCCGTGGAGCGCAACAAGCAGGTGAGCCGGCCACCCCCGCCTCCCAACGCCGCCGCAACCCTGTCGCACTGCACTTGAGCAGATTGGCGCGGCCACCTCGCCTGGCCCAACTGCGCGTTTTGTTATCAACAACGAACTTATGTTAGAAGTGATGTGGCGGCCTGGTCAAAGCTTTGAAACACGGGGGACCTGCGTCAGGGGCTCGGCCCCTTTGCCGCCTGAGTGGGCGCGCCGATTTTGGGAATTGCGGGGCCTTGAACGAGACAAGCACTTAGGCGCCTTGCAGTCTTCGCGCGCCCGTGCGGCGCGCCAGACTCGGACTCGGCAGCACCCGCGCTTCGCTGTGGCGCCCCGTGGCCGCACAACCGGCCATCGTGAAACGCGACAGAGGTCTTCGTCGGCGCTTCGCCGGTGCGCTGCGGCCTTTGGGCGACTCAGAAACGTCTGACTGGAGGCGACGCCTCCTCGCGCGATTCCCTCCTAACAGGGTATTGACGGCATCGTGGTCAAACTCAAGGAGCAGCTGGAGCGGCAGCAGAAGGCAGTGCAGGAGTTTCAGGAGAAGTGAGCCCCTCGCCCTCCCCGGTTCCTAGGGAAGGGTTTTGGGGGGCCAAGCCAGGGGTGGTGTGTGCGCATTCTTCGTTGAGGGGGAAAGGCGAGCTGTGACGGAGTGGACCCTTGCTTGGAGGGAAGCGCGCATGCTTCCGGCTGCGCGCTGAGGGCGAAAGCGGCCGGAGCCCAATTTGCCAATGTTGCGTTTGTGGGCGTGTGGAGCGCCTGATGGGCCTTGTTTGCTGCTGGTGTTGCCGGCTGTGGCGCAGGCAGGGAGTGCGCGCAGAGGGGCCGCAGCGGTTGGTGGCCCCTCTCGAGGGCCCTAGCTGCGCCAATCCATGGGCCCGCCTACCCCTGCATTCCCTCCCTGTTTGACATCACCACGGCGCCCACCTCAACTGAACGGCCTCAAACAGGTTCAAAATCAGGATCCAGGGGCAGGACGGCGGCGCGGCGGGGGCAGGCGGCGGCGGCGGGCCCCAGAAAGGGGCGAAGCAGGGGGCCGCGGGCGTCCTCGTGTAATGGACAAGGGTGCCGCTTGGTCGCCGGGCACTTCGGGTGTGCGCGGCGCGACGCTTGCATGGAGGTCGCCCTGAATCCGTGGGCTGGCTTTGGGTCCTGGGCGCTGCCGCGGCAGCCCGCTGTAACTGCTGCAGGTTGAAAAGAGGTGGATGAATGCCCTTGAATTCGTCCGCTCCGGCGGCGGGGTTTGAGGGGGGGGGGCCGGTGCATGCGCGGGCAGCCAGGGCCGCGGCTGGGGGGTGTGGGTTGTTGGATTTGGGTCGACGCGGGGGAGTGGGGGCCGTGCCAACAGCGCTAGGCGGCTTTGGGGGGATCAAGGCAGGCGCACTAGGCAGAAAGGCAGGCTATGAATTTGATAAACTAGTTCTGGGGGCATGAGCAACCCGTTTGCGCGGGCCAATGAGTGCGGGCCGCCGTCGGCCGACGGCGGCATGGGGATGCTATGATGCATCAACTGCCGCCCCTCTGCGGGCCGGCGGAGGGAGGAGGGCATCCCCCGCCCCGTCCCCTTGGCCACCCAATCAATCTGACTGTCACCTTCACATGTCGTCATGGCATGAGCGCCTCACTCGGCGATGTGCACGCTTGCAACACGCGTCTTCCGCGGATGGCCAAACGTTGGGGCGGGGCACCGTACACTAAGTCTGCGTTCGCCGAGATAATCGCGCGGCTGCTCATGCGGGCGTGGCCGCCGATAGAAAATAGCTGGTTGCAAAGTAGGCAGCCTGACAGGGTCCGCAGCGACATGCAGAAGGGAGCCCCTGGCGCGGGAAAAAAGCCGGCTGCTAAATATCTGCAGGACGGTATCCCCATCGGCGTTGGCGAGCCGCCGCCAAGCGGCTTGCGTTGGCGGCGCGGCAGCCCGTGGCGCCTGCCGTGAGTGGCAAGACTTTGATTTGTTTATGTGTCGACGCAATGGGCGGCAAGAAGGCCCCAGCTAGGGGCGCTGTCCCTTAGTTACCCCGTGCTCGCACCTTTTGGAGGCAGCAGCAGTTAGACAGTGCTCCGGCCGTCACTGCTTAGTACCTTCTCAACTTATCAACAACCTTCACCAGCCCCGCCCATCCTTCTCGAGCCCCGCTGCTTCGCCCTTCTCCTGTGCTCACCGAGCCACGGTCGCGCAAGGCCTGCGCATGACCTCGAAAGAGATTATCTAGTGATTTCAGCATGCAGCACCATGCCTCATGGGCCGCGCGTGGCTCCCCAAAGGGTGTCTAGCAGCCCGCGCCTCCCCCCGAGGCTTCTTCGTGGTCGGCCAGCGCCCAGACTGAGGGCTATCGCCATGTACAACACCAGCAGCATGGCGCTTGGTGGCGACGGGCTGGCGCTGGACTCTGCCGTGGGGTCCAGCGACCTCGTTATGCGAACGCTCGTTCTCGGCTGGAGGTCTCACAGCAGCGAAACGCTTCCTCTGGATGCGTGCTATGACCGGACGCCGCAGCAGGGCGGCGCAGAGGACCGCTTGGCTTGGGCGAGCGCGGTGCCGCCCCCAGGCGCTGCGCACGGCTCCGACTACGTGAACGCGCCGCTGCTCGGTGCCTCTGACAGCTCCCGCACTCCAGACTCCGTTCCTGTGTTCGTGATGCTCCCCCTTGACACGGTGAGGCCTGGGCCATGCCTGCGGTGGGCGCGGGCGGTTGCGGGGAAGCTGGCGTGTCGTGGTCGCGGCGGAGCGGCGGGAAGCGGCGGCAGGAGGTCACTCCCGCAGATCTATCTGTTGTTATTCTTGCCCCGACGGCACTGTGCACGCGTTCCTGCTGTAGTGACTTCTACCGCGCCAGCTATCACATGCCGCGGCGCCGCCGCGCCGCTGCCCGCCAGGACGGTGCCTAACCTGCCTCGTGGGCGCTTGACCGCCAGCAACCCCCATGCCACAGCCCCCACGCCGTGACTTAATGCTATGGTCCCTCACCTCCCTCCCGGCCCTCCCCCGCCAGATCAACGCTGAGGGCGTGTTCCGCTATGCCACAGTGCCCTGGTTCACGGCGGCGCTGCAGCTGCTGGCCAACTCTGGCGTGCACGGCGTGGCTGTTGACGTCTGGGTGAGCAGCCACACCGGCCGCGGCGGCCGCGCGCACCACGGCCGCCAGACGACCTTTCTCCGCGCAGGCGGCTCGCCGCACAGGCTTGATCCGCGATCATGCGCGCACGAAGCCCTCTTCAGGCCGGTCGCTGGCTGTGCCGACGGTCCCTCGCCCAACCCTTTCGCCCCCCTCCCTTATTCTAGTGGAGCGCGGTGGAGCGGTCGCCGCGCGTGTACAACTGGGCCGGCTACAAGCAGCTGCTGGAGGTGCTGCGGCCCACGGGGCTCAAGCTGCAGGCGGTGCTGTCGTTCCACGCGTGCGGCGGCAACGTGGGGGACCTCGTGCAGATTCCGCTTCCGTCATGGGTGCTGCAGGTGCGCGCATTGGGGGGGGCCGCGGGCCGGGGGCGAGCCGGAGGCCTGCAGGGGCTGTGAACGGCGGGGTTGGGGCAAAGGCTGCACAGCGTCCTGGGTGGTGCCGCGTCTGGCTCGTGCGCTGCACACACGAATGCAGCGCGCGCTCACGAGCAAGCGCGCCGACAACCAGGCACGATCTGTTTCTCATGCGCATGCAAATCGCGCATGCATGTGCCCTCGACCCCGCTGCCAGGCCGGCCAGCAGGACCCGGATATTTTCTTCACAGACCGGCCCCGCCAGGGCGCGGGGCTGGGGCAGCGCAACAAGGAGTACGTCAGCTTCTGGGCAGATGACGAGCCTGTGCTGGCGGGGCGCACGCCCATGCAGGTGGGGGGCAGGCGTGGGCCGGGGGCCCTGGGCGCGGGCCGCGGCCATGTGCTGCGGGTAAGCGGCGGGCTCGGCTGCCAAGGGGATGGAATGCCTCCGTGGTGGGCGTGACGGCAGCCGGGGCCTTGGCGCTTCGACCCCTGGGGAAACCGGCCGCAACAGCCGGAGGCCCCTGCCAGAAGCTCCCGCCGGAAGCCCCTAATGACGCACTGTCAGCAGCACAACCACCGCGCCACATCAACCCCCTGGCCCCTCTCCGCTGCCCCCGCCCGCAGTGCTACGAGGAGTTCATGGCGTCCTTCGGGGACGCCTTCGCCGGCGACCTGGGCGGCCTGCTGGAGGAGGTCGTCGTCGGCATGGGCCCCTGCGGCGAGCTGCGCTACCCCTCGTACGTCGAAGCCAACGGCTGGCGCTTCCCGGGGGTCGGGGAGTTCCAGTGCTACGACCGCCGCGCGCTCGCGTCGCTCGCGGCGGCGGCGCGGGAGCGGGGGCACCCCGAGTGGGGGTACAGCGGGCCGCACGACAGCGGGGAGTACAACAGCAGCCCGCACGACACGGGGTTCTTCGCGCCGGACGGCAGCTGGGACAGCGCCTATGGGGACTTCTTCCTCAGGTGTGTGGGCGTCGCGTGTCTCCCTGGTCGCTCGCCCCTTGGGCCTCTTTCTCGGGAGTTGTGGGGGTTGTGGGAAAGGGATGATGGGCCGGCCGTGGTGCTTTTGAGGCAGGTCGGGCTGGGACAGCGAAGCTTCACGGCTTTCGCCGACACTAGTGTGGATGCAATCGCGGGGATCGTTGCTGGAGGCGGTCGCCAGGCCCCCTTGTGATGGCACCATCCGTCAATGTACACTGATCAACCCCCCTGTCCCGTCCTTCGCAACCCAATTATTTTATTTTTCCTCAGTTGGTACAGCGGCACCCTGCGCAATCACGGGGAGAAGCTGCTGGCGGCAGCTTCGCGCACGCTGGGCCGCTTCCAGCGCCCCTCGCGGGGCGGCGCCGCCCCCGCGCAGCCGGGCAGCCCGCTCGGCCGCGGTGCGGCGGCGCTGCTGCAGCGGCTGCAGCAGGCGGTGCTGAGCGGCGGCGGCGCCGCGGCTGTGGCGGGCGGGGAGGGGCCATTCGCCAACGCTCAAGCGGCGGCCGCGGCGTCGGCTGCTTGCGGCGCGGCGTCGCCGCTGGACGCCTGGGCGGGCGGTGGCGCCGCGGCGGCGGCCTCCGCCGGCGAATGCAGCAGCGGCAGCGCCAACAGCCCGCTCGACGGCCTGATGAGCCGCCTCGGCCTCGCGGCCGGCGCCGGCAGCGCCGGCGGCGCGACCAGCACGGGCAGCGGCCGCAACTCGTGCTCGTCCTCCTCTGGGGGCAGCAGCGGCGGCGGCGGCGGCGGCCTCGGCGCGGCCGGCGGCAGCGGGGCAAGCAGCGGCGGGATCTGCGGCCCCGATCTGGGTTCTGTGGTGAGCTTGGAGTCCCTGGCCTCGGCCACGGCGGGGGTGCTGTCCGCATCTTCATCGGCCGCGACGACGTCCTCGGACCCGTCGCAGCGCAGCGCGAGCCCCGGGCTGCCGGCCGCCGGCGGCGCGCCGGGCGCGCAGC